TGGCTGAGCCCTCCCCACTCTCCTCCCCAGAGCACAGGTCACACACTCGATACCCTTTTCAGAGCCAGCAGTTTCTCAGATTTGCTTCTCTGAGCAACGTCCTGAGGGAATGCACACAAGGAGAAGAGCAGGGGTGAGTGAGCTCCCGCAGCACGGCCAGTGCAGAGAGTGCCTCGCACCTCACCCTGACGAGGGGCGTTGGCTGGGGACAAGCTGAACCCAAGCGGTAGCAGGGAGGCAGGGGAGGGGTGGCAGTTCCCCCCAGAACACAGAACATGATGCCTGGAGCCCGTGAATGACACCACTCAGTGCTCTGACCCTGACAGCCTGGGCTGGTGGCCCAGCAGGGTGGCAGGACTGGCAGGGCCACTGCTGGGCTCGCTCCCATGGTTTCTAAGGGTGGCTTCTGGCAATTCCAGCTCATGCCAGGACCACGGGACTGATGGATGTTCTGAGGTGAGTGTGGCAGCTCCTGCCCCAGGAAGGGGCATTCCCAGCGGGCAGCATTACCGACTGGTCGGTGGTGAGCGGCGTGTAGCCTGTCATGAGGAAGTGCAGCCGGGGCATGGGGATGAGCGAGGCAATGAGCCCGATGAGGTCGTTGTTCATGTAGCCAGGGTACCGCAGCGTGGTGGTGCTGGCAGACATGATGGTGGAGACCTGGCGGAAGAGGACGGGGTCAGCACCCGCGTCACCCCATGCTCACGTTCAAACCTTGCTCCTCACAGCCCTCGCAGGCTGCCCCTGGGAAGGGCAGAGGACTCATGCCCAGCCCCAGGCTGCCCACCACCGCTCCCTGCCCATGGAGCAGGATCAGGCCGAACCACACACAGCAGGAAAGCCCCATGCCGGCTTCTCCAGAGGGAAGAGCCCTTCTCACCAGCTGGTTGATCTGAGAGAAGGACGGGTTCTGAATGTGCAGCCGGTCGGTCGCGATCCGGTTCAAGGCCGTGTTGTCCAGAACCACCTGCAAGAGGAAAGAACTGTCTCTGTGAGGAGCCCCAGCCTGGGTAGGGACAGTCCCAGCCTGTGCCCCAGGGTGCCCACTGCCCCGCACGGGCCCCGCACACCACGGCAGACACCAGACGCAGACACCAGAACCCATGCGCAGTGTAACCAACACTGTCAATGGAGGCTCTTCCCTCCCGTCCTGGCTGAGCTCCTCAGCCCTCTCCCAGAGAGCTCAGCCTCTGGGCCAGCACCTTGCAGCACCCTTCAGCCCCAGCAGCTCTGGCGGGCGGCTTGTGCCCTGCCTCACGCAGGGATCAGGTGGGAGACACGAGCAGTGTGCTGGGAGCTGAGAGGAGGCCCTGGCGCAGGCTGAGGGTGCTGCCTGGCTGGGACATGCGGGTGCTGAAAGCTGGACTCGAGTGTAAGCAGGCAGCTACAGAACAGAGGAAGTGCTGCTGCGGGAGGAACGTGCTGGGTCACGGGGGCAGCAATGCCCAAGTGGACAGCACAGCAGCGCGCAGCACAGAGCCCCTGTCCCGAGAGCCACCGCATCTCACATCTGCTCAGGACTTCGGGACACGGATGCCCTCCATGCT